CCTTAGATTGATAGGAAAACGTATAACGTGTGGAGGTAAAAAAGGAATGTTGGTCGAAAACACACAATATAGGAATGGAAAGAGATAGTGTGAAACCTTTGTATTTTTTGGCAATCTCAAAAACTTATGCAAACACTACGGAATGCTAAACGCAGTGCCTATTCATCTCTCGAATAAATAAATAAATAAATAAATAAATAAATAAATAAATAAATAAATAAACAGATAAATAAATAAATAAATAAATAAATAAATAAATAAATAAATAAATAAATAAATAAATAAATAAATAAATAAATAAATAAATAAATAAATAAATAAATAAATAAATGATTTTAATTAATATGTAGATAAACTTGGAAAGGTGCTACCGGATGTAAACGGCATCCTTGCAATTCCGCGACTTTCATTAAAAAGGTAAAATAATTCTCCGATAATTATCGATCTAAAATAGTTAGGCAATCGGAGGATTTAAGGTTGGAACCACATCCAACAGACACGGATATTGTCAAATAATTGTCGAAGTATTATAATGATACCATGGGCAACATTGTTTGACAATTCTCTGATAATTATCCCATAACATTATGCAAGATCCCGCCTTCACGGACTTTCGAGCATCATGGCCGGACTACACTACAGTTGGATTTCCAGTATTAAACAACAGGACATCCTGGTTATATCAAGGTAGTAAAAGGTCACGCACTGCTAGTCAGATTAAGTTTGACATAAGTATACTATGTGTCGGAACATAGGGGTTTCGGAACATGTCGGAAAATAGGGCAGCCCCCCCCCCTTCTCAGACACCCCCCTGCTCGGGCAAGGGCGGACATTCAGAATGGATCGACGCCCCTGGCTGCAATCACCAAGTTTCTGTTTATATCAAAAGAGTGTACACTCTTTTTCGACGCCACAAAAATGTCAGTCGCGGAGTTGCATTTTGGGTTCATGCAATTATAATAAAAATGACTCTCCCCAGTCATGGCGGATGTTTGGGTTTTCTGCCAAAACGACATTCCCTTTTTACAATAACGACACTTCAATATAACACTGCTAATTTTATTTACAGACTGTAATTCTACCAGCGTCTGTATCCACGATTATAATCTCGTTGTCGTCGTTTGAACTGTCGGTGTCTGAACTATGTTGTGTAGAACTTTTGTTGTAACTGTCGATAGGCTCGTCTTCAGTAACTGTCGATAGGCTCGTCTTCAGTCCACTCTGCGGGCTGACTTTAACATGGGTCCACGTCACTTCATTTAGATGTCTTTTAACGGCGTCGGACGTTTTTCGGCGGTCATTTTATTTTTATTTTAGAACTCTTTCTTATGGTATATTATGTTATTAAAAGCACAGAGAAAAAGCTTGAAATACTATAGCGTAATGTTCGTATGTGCTTTGATCGCGATTGCATATTTACTGATAGTTAAAGGGTGTCTACGATGACGCCAGTGGCCTTTGTGAGGTTATGTTTCTATTAAAATTTCGAAGCTGGGGATTTCTACTAGAACTGAGACCTTAAATAGACTGGCATTTATCGTAAACGTCCAAATTGCCGTTCTTAACAAGGTTACACTGAGAATTGTATAGTGGACTTTTATAGTTTTCCTGTATCATTCTGAACATTCAGTGGAGTGACCATACAGAACGTCGATCTGGATGTAGTTTGTCTTAATTCAACGTTGTGATCGTAAAATCGCTTGCGCAGTATAAGAACGAGTACAAACAAAGTTATTATTAAGAGTTACCTGGGCATTTCATGTGACGCCACGACAAATATTTCAATAAATCAAAGTTGGTATTTAGGAAACACTAGTCAGATTTAGGGATAATAGGTAACCGTAGTTCAAAACTGATTTGTTTGAATACTGTATGTATGGAAGTAGTTAAGAATGGAATATAGGTACAACCATGAGGGCGCTGTTCATACTCGGATGCGATGACGTCCTGCGGGGATGGATGACGTCACAATGGGGGCCCGTGCATAGATGAGCATAAATAATGACGTCACAATGGGAATTCGTGCATAAATTAGCATAAATGAATTTGAATGAGGATGACGTCACAATGAGATATTGTGAATACATTTGCATACATAAAATAAATTTGAATACGAGGTCGTGTCGAGGTCATCGTGAATACATTTGCATAAATTACCATCATTTTTTTTCTAATTTTCTTTATTATTTTTTAATTGGATGTTTTAATTATTTTTTTAATTGGACGAGCATGGACGAAAGATTTTTCAGAATGTATCTTAGAGGGCGATCTCTCTCACTCACACACACACACACACACACGCAAATAAATACACGACATTTTGAAAACGGAGTTTATTGCACAAAAGAAGTAAACAAGAATGAAATATTGACATGGATCAAGTATACATTTATGGCGTGGTTGAGCTTTTTTAACGCCACGAAAAAAACATACGATGTGAGTAAGGAAAATAGTTGCGTAGCGTATAAATGTTTAGCGTGATTAAATATTTCTTAACATCTCGAAAAATACGTACATACATGTAAATGTGTGGCGTGGTTAAATTTATTTTAACGGCACGAAAAATACGAGTACATAAACGATTCGATTAAAAACACGGAAGAGATAAACGTCAACAGTGAACAATGAAAAAAAATTCATTCTATATATACATATGTTGTTCATTGTTTATATTTCTTACTTCATATTTGTTTTTTTGTTTGAGTATATTATTTTAAAGGCACGAAAAAAATACGAGTACATAAACGATTATATTAAAACACAGAAACGAGGAAAGTCAATAATAGTACACAGTGATCAATAACAAAATAATTCATTCTATATATACATATGTTGTTTATTTTTAAAATATAAGTTATGTGTTGAAAATTTAAAAGTATGAGTCACAGGGTAAAACTGCGGTCATCAATCCGCTAAAATGTGATGTATGCAAGGTATGCAAACGTACATTTTGTTTTTTTCAAAAATGGTGGACTACGCTACGATGAGTTAAAATTTATAATTACCTGATCGTTTCACAGAATATCTTTTGACATACATAATCATCACACGGAATGACTTTACGGTGTAACGTAGCGATTTTTGTTTTTCCCTCGGCGAAGAAGATATGTCCTCGCTTCTTGTCAAAGATTCAAAGGCGGTACATCAAGTTTGACCTTCCGTGAATGGTTCATCTCATGGATATCTACACAAGGAGTCATACAGGACGTATTGGCTAACATGGCTTGAAAGTATTCGATGATTGTAGATCCACGTACGAGAAATCTTTTAAATTCCATGACA